TGACTTGTTCAAAGTTCAAAAACTTTATTAAACTAAGTTTGTATAAAAAGGGTTATTATAATATTAAGGAATTTTTGGATGATAATAACCCCTGGAAATGAGATGATCGCTACCAAGCTATTTCTAATTTGTTGTGTTGTTAATTTGTGTAACATCATGATTGTAAGCTGTTGTTTAAAAAAAAAGTCCCGCTGGGTTTCTTGCTGGTTCTTCTCAGGACAGAGGTTTTTTCCGAACCAGTGGTAATCAAACAAAAGAGTGACTTTCAATAAGTATTATTTATAATCTATATTGAATAAAAAAGTTTCTGTTTCTGTTTCTGTTTCTGTTTCTGGTAGTGCTGAAGCTTCTTTATAGTAGTGGATTCATTGGTCCACCATACCAGAGCGCCGTATGTGATCATGGGCCGAATTACAGTTTTGTACAGCCACATTATGATTTTTAGCGTCAGACCCCATCTTTTGCCAATCATGTTTCTGTATTACCAGAAAGTTAAACTAGCTTTGTTAATTTTGTTTCCTATGTGTTTATTCTAGTTAAGTTTACTGTCCAAGGTAAGACCTAAGTATTTTATCTCAGAGGATAGCTGGAGTTTTGTGCTGAAAAGACTTGGGAGATAATAGTTATTCACCATTCGTTTTTGTGTGAACATTACTAGAACAGTTTTATTTGGATTAACGGCTAGATCGTATTTCCCTGGACCATCTCTCCACTATACGGAGAGCCGCTTGGGTCAGGTCGCACACTATGCTTGCCTTCTTTCCAGAGACCAGTATGAACGTTTGTCCTTTTGACTTGAAAAATATATGGAAAGGAATAAAAGATATATTTTTTAAATTCTTTAGACAATAGTTGGTAATATCCTCTAGCGAAATAAAAAAAAAATCATTTTTATACATTTCTATCAACATATTTTAATGAGTCATAAGTATCCGAATTCGAGATTTTTCATAATTCCGGAAATATTAACTGTGGCGGGTGGAAGGAAAAGGGGAGATCTCCCGCCGGGAAAGGTGTTCTGCCCGGGAAGCGGCCAACGCTCCGAGTGGTAGTTCGGAGCTATTGAATATACAGTTTTAATTTCGGAACTTTGTTAACGCGATTTAGGCGTCGATGTGTTTCGCTTGTGGCGCGACGACAGCGCCGCCACATCACCCCTCTGCTCAGACTGGAGGTCGATAGTGCAGCAGTCTAGATGTCGACGAATTTGCCAGGGAATTGCCTTGCAGGGTTGCTGTGGGCCATAGACACCTAAATTTTGTCCTCAATTAAGAATCAAAATGCAGATGCGTTGTCACCTCTGAGAACTAAGATGGAATGCGTCGTTACCAGTAAAAAGGGTATCCGGTTCTCTACACTCACCATACAAATGCTTTTTCACGCTGGTATTCTGTGGGAGCGTGGTCCTACCCCAGCCATAATATAGCTTTAGTATGGCTCTACTACGTAAAAATTCTAATACATACATATTCCAGTACATCAATTATATTAAGATGTAGGTACTTATGTTAAGGCATCTGCATATTATACTTCTTATTCATTCAATATTTGTTTCAGGTATTTGCACAACAATCACTTGAAGAGAATCCCGCCTGGCTCATTCCGTGACTTGTCTACTTTATGCAAGCTGCGTTTAGATGGCAATGCTTCTAATTTACAATTGTTCAATGCTCTGGTTTGTCCGCATGCTATCGGAACACCGTGCCATGGACATTGGTGCAACTTGCTATGAGCTTGCAAATGCTACCGGCGCCTCTTTAGCCTCTATCAGGCCTGTCTCACTCCGCGCTTTAGACATGAAAATATACCTACGCTACGTGGTCCCCCTACAAGCGGATAATTCCGTGAGATAGTCACGCGCACGCTCGAGCTGACGCGCGCCTCACGTTAACAAAAGAGTATTTTTCTCTTTCAAGTATTTAGCCACTTTTCATATTTATTTTTGAGTTTTGAGTTTATTCAAGTATGCCCTCTCAATAAAACAAAAGGTACTGCATAACAATACGAATGTCGACTTTTCATTCGTTACTGTTCCTAAAGATACCGAAAGGTAATATATTAATATTTATAGGTAGATCTAGATAATTATGTACTTAGTTACTGATGCCATAGTCACAGATTTATTATTTCATTAGTGACCCGACCACAGCTTCGCGGTTTTCGGTATTTTCGCTTATAATGCCAATGACCTAAAAATTGTTGAATGTAAGTAGACCTCCCAGTACTAGTGACTGCCTACTAATGCAAGATCACTATATTATACTGGTTATAAGTTTAACACTTGGTCGATAAAAGAGATTGAAAAGCACTTCTCATTGCCACTCTTTCATTAATAATACCGTCGCGTGTCGCATGTTTGTAAATAGCAAAAAATGTGAAACAGACAAATTGACAGCTCCATGACGCAGTAGCTTTGCAATGAGTTACAGCGCTAAGGGCCGCGGGTTCGAATCTCGGACGTAACAAGATTTGTGTGGACTACAAATAATTGATACGCACGCTCGAGCTGACCCGCGCCTTACGTTAACAAAAAAGTACAAGAACAGCTTACTATGGGCGATTTTTATATCGAATGGACGAAATGTCAATTTGAACTGCAACAAATGAACGCTGTTAGCTAGACAGATTATTCATTACATGAAACACAGACAAGCTGTTTTATTTGACAATAATGCAATCTTCATGTGCCATGCTGCAGCTATATTATTGGTATAGTTACAGCTCGAATGGGTCGGCTTGACCGGGGAAGGACCACGCTCTCACAGAATACCATCGTAAAATAGCAGCTTAACGCTGCTGCGTTTCGTATGGTGAGTGTAGAGAACCGGAGACCCTTTTTACTGGAAACGAGGCACTCCATCTTAGTCCTCATGGGTAACAACGCATCTACATTTTGATTCCTAATCGTGGATAGATGTAGATGTCTATGGGCCACAGCAGCCACTTACCATCAGGTGGACTGTGTGCTCGTTTGTCACCCATATCCTATAAAAAATGCATTCTTAAGTGCTATTTATTTAAACCCTAGAGTAAATTCACCTTGCTCATAATGGTGATTTTTTGCAAAATCGATTAATTTGAAGCTTCGGTAATTGAAAAATTACCGACGACATCTTTCTTTTATTCATTTTATCCTAAGTTATACCAAGTTAAACAAATATACTTAAATATACGAATTTTTATCTTTTTTTTAGTCAGTTCTTGCTTCAATAACTTTTTTCCTCAAAAGCCATTCATGGTACCTCATGTCTCATGGGGAATGGCATGCACTTTTTAAGACCCTCCTTCCATTTCCTATATAATCATTATTTCCAGAGTTATAGATTATCAAAGTTAAAAAGATTTTTTAAGTGAAAAAAAAAACTAGACATGTACCTACAATTTTCTTTTTTGCTCTACGATCATTTTCCTCGGAGTTAATTCTTGTTGAATATCACCCAAAAATTTTTATTTTTTTTATATACCGTCATTTTTGTGATTAATGTAGAAAGGATATTAAAACCGGCCGTTAGACACGTAAAGAATTTCGATACACGTTTCACCATCGTTTAGAGAATGTCTTGCGGAAGGAAGGTTAACATGTAAAAAATATTTTAATATCTTACCTTTGACATTCCGTATTTGATATCTATCCGTATGTACTTACATAAAATCTGACTGTCTCAATTGATTAATTCAATTGCTGCGCTGACGACCACAAAACGTACGTAACAGCCTATAGCTTTAGAACACTGCGTTCGATAGATCATAGAACGAACATACGAGTAAAAGAGATGGATTATTATATTGTGATAACAATATTTTAGAAACGTTTGATTGACAAATTTATTGTTTTTTTTTGCGCCCATAAGCAATTGAAATGGGCTACTCCGTTAATGCGAGGAGGCGGTGAATGCTTTATGCATACCACGACAGCCGGTCTGTCGTGGTTATGTGGCACTGACTGTGACTAACTATCCTATACTCTAAGTGTACCCACTAAACACCGCCTATGGGGAATGGCAATGGCCTTTGAAGCCTCTCAACCAAATCGGAAGCGACACGCTTTTGGGAAAAGAGGGCGCAGGGAATTTATTGTAACGTAATTATAACACTATACGCATGTAAAGCTTTGCATAATATAATTTTGATATATCGTTTCTCATAAACATCACGTTATCTCGCACTTGCGCAGATAACACTACTGTATGTTACCGGTATTTAAGTCCCTCCCACCAATACTACTGTATTGAAATCAATGGGACTCATGTTTTTTGGTGACATAGATTTAGTTGAATCTTGTCATCCTCGAGAATAGATGCTTGTCAGTCTCTCGGTGCTATCGATTTCATTAATTTAAGTTTTTTGTTACATTGCCAATTTTCTTGTACTTTTTCTCCTAGATAAAATAAACTGTTGATGACGCTTTTAAACTTCAGATCGCCCTGAGATCATTAAAGACCCTCAAGACATAATGGTGAACTACCTGGAGAGCCAATACCTGAAATTGAGAGGTTGCGAGATTCTACTTCCGTGCCGCTTAATATACATCGCCATGAAATAATGGATAACAGTACACTTACGGTGCATGCCGCTGATGAGAACGCCGTAGGATTATTTGAATGTTAAGCGAAAAATCCTGCAGGAGGAGCAATGTCGAAACCAGCTAACATGATGGTACGTATCACACCGGTCGGAAACGGTACAATTGTTTGAGATTACATAAATTATTTCAATTTACGCACCTTGTTAATGCAAACACTAATTCTTATTTATTTTATAGGTTATCTTGTATTTACTATTCTACCTCACACCAGAATTGTTAGTATGAACGAAAATGTTAGATTTGACTATGTTGCTAAAGGAAATTCTGCACCTCATATAGTATGGTACTTCAACCGGGCAAGCATTTAGCTGACTGGCCACATAACAAAAAAATACAACATATGGATGCAGGCCAATATACTTACCATGCTGAAAATCTAAACGGAAAAATTACAGCTGAAGCCGTTCTTTAAGTTATGGGTAAGATTTTATTTTTATTTATTATAAACCAGTGCTTGACTACAATTTCATCTAGTGGTAAGCGGTGATGAATACCGAGATGGTAAATTCCTATGTCTTGCATAACAAAAGCCCATTCACTCTTGCTTTGGAGACACCAAGATTACGATCAGATGGTAAAACAGACGCCGGCAAATTAATCCGCTCCTGTTCTTTAGGTATTACAAAAGACAAAGCCAAACATTTGGTTAGAATGTGTGGAAAGTCGAAAATAAGGGTTACCCTTTTGTTGTCGATATTCCAATTAAATTATGTGATTCCAGCGCACACTCTCCATTATGTATACTATAGAGCACCGAGTGACTGGCAAGCCTCTGTTCTCGAGGCTGACAAGATATATTAGTTTGTAAAAATTTTCTCGCGTGCATCCGCTCGTTAAAATAAAATGATGTGTCTTACCTAGTTTGAAGAGCATCTCCCGCGACTAGGTACCTAGGTAAAACACATCATTTTATTTTATCGAGCGGATGTACGAGAGGTAATTTTTACGAACTTTACTATAATGGATTTCCGCAAAGTAACGCCTGATTCTATTAATTATCTGACAAGATTTATTAAAAAAAAAAAACATGACTCTCCATTGATTTCAATACAGTAATATTGGTGGTGTAAAGTAAGTCAGGTGGTATTTTACAAAACATATGGGGTATATGTGATCGCAGTACGCCATAGATGAACGGAGTTACAATTATGGAGGGTAGCAATTCCTGACGTGAAGTACCGCCGCACTTTTGCAAGGACACCTATTTTCCTTGCGGCAGCTTTGGCCTTGTACACTATGAACAACCATAGCTTCTCTTTTTGGCTGTAGTTTATCATTTATAATATATAAATTAAAAAATATAAATATACATTTAAAATATATTTATAATAAAACTAGCTGACCAGGCAGACGTTGTTCCGTCCTTTCCGACGACCATTTGCTTTCCTAAAAAAACTCCTGAGATCAGCAATAAAAAAATTGAGGGTCACTTATCGGGATAAAAACTTTCCTATCTACTATATAGTTGGACCAAACTGCACACAGTGGCAAAATTTTATTGAAAACAGTTCAGTCGTTTAGGAGTCCATCGCGGACAAACAACGTGACACGTAATTTTTTTATATAAAGATTGTAGAAAGACACCAGCATGATGCTCGCATTATGCTGGTGTCTTTCTACAACTATACTGTCGTCTACAAACAGAGAGCGGACTACGAACTCCGGTATAAATCACCATGATCTCGAACGAGCAGTCTCGACGACGTCTCAGAGACCGATCACTCAGAAAGGCCTTCGTCCAGTCGATCAAACCGCGGGATGAGTCATACGCTAGAAACATGGCCAAAAGCTAGCAACCCAAAAAATGACAAAGGCCTTCAAGACACCAAGGGAAACAGCAGGTGCTAACCCAATGTCCTCGAGGGCCTCGTTTCATATAAGAGAATTTTCTTTGTTGACCGATTTCGGTGAAACCCAAACAAGCGGCCGATAATGAGAAGGCATGAGATGGACATTCAATGTACGTAGTATCTATATACAATACAATATTGCAGACCATGGAGGTAATTGAAATTGGCCGATAGTTAGCAGCGTCGACACGGGTGCCTTTTTTGTGCATAGTCTGCACATTCCCTAGTTTATATATTAGGTCGTATATAAGAGTCCTGTACGAGATTGACACCGGAAACAACTCGGTTATACAGTTCATAATTTTGTTTTATAATCAAATATTCTTTATAAAATCAAATATTGCTATGTGGTAGGACTTCTTTTCTGTCCAAGAGTCCATCTGGGTGGGTAACTCCTTCTTGCCTTATTTCTGGCGCCAAACAGAAGTGCCTGAACTGCTGTGTTCCGGTACAAAAAGTAGTTACATGCTGTTAGGCATTACATCTCTCAACATTACCTCAGACATGATAACGCATCTAAAGCCTTCTTTTAAGTTAGTTGTAGGTTACCATCCACCACCATCAAGTGCACTGAAAGTTCGATTATTACTTGTTTTATTTTATAAATAAATAGTTTTAGCGTATTTCTCACCAACGAACCTTCATTGATATTATTGTTTCAGTGGCTCCCGCCTTTATCACTGTTCCAAAAGATCAAGTTGTAACTGTAGGAGAAACTACTGAATTTAGATGCACAGCAAGAGGAGCACCAAAACCGGTAATTACCTGGTATAGGAATACAATGGTATTGACATCAAGCGAAAACGTTATTTATTCCGATAACAGTCAAAATTTAACAATACTCCAAGTAACGACCGATGATGATGGACTATATCATTGTAGAGCAGAAAACTCTGAAGGACTAACCGAAATATCTGCAATGCAGCAAAAAAAATGCTTAAAGTAGATGAAGCTCAAATTATACCACCTAAGATAATTTTAAAACCGGAAGATACTGATGCATTTAAGAAGACTTCGATTCAAATGCCTCGTGAAGTGGAAGGAGAACAACCAGCTATAATAGAATGAAGAAAAGATGGATTGTGAATAGAGCCAAATGATAGAATTTCTATTTCGGTAATCGGAAGCTTAATTATTAACAATATTACAATTACTGATTCAGGTCGCTATGAATGCTCAGATTTTAACGAATATGGCCAAGATACTGTCTCGGTATTTTTGACAGTTAAGTATCACATTCTACCACGCGACGAATATGTCAATATAGCTTTGACGGAAGTGACACGTGATGTTGATCAAACTATTGCTAGAACTACTATGGAACAATTATTTAAAAACAATAGCTCCAAAGCGAACTTCCATGATCTGATAGAATCACACGATTTCCTAACGCTCCCGCGAGAGAGGTTGCACGAGATGCGGAAATATATGAAAGAACTTTGGAGAAAGTTAGAGGTTTCATACAATCAGTATTAAAGGTTACTTTAGCTGAAACGTTTAATTATGAACAAGTAATTTCGGGACAGTTTGACGGGTTCTCGAGAGCAGCCTCGTACCGGTAGGCAAAGTGTAACCCACTTGATGGAGTGACGACCTGGTAAGACACGCAGGAAGTCGATGGATGCAGGTGGCTCAGGACCGTGCTTTGTGGCATTCCTTGAGGGAGGCCTATGTTTAGCAGTGGACTTGTGAAGGGCTATAATGATGATGAATTTCGGGACAACATTTAGAGGTGATTGCTCGCCCATGTGATTGTGTCGCACATAGGGAAGAGAAGAACTATTCAGATATGTGGTCCCAGGTGGCCCAGGACCGTGCTTTGTGGCATTCCTTGCGAAAGGCTTATGTTCAGCAGTGGACTTGTGAAGGGCTGTAATAATGATGATGATGAATTTCGGGACAACATTTAGAAGTGATTGCTCGCCCGTGTGATTGTGTCGTACATAGGGAAGAGAAAAACTCTTCAGATATGTGGTTCCATATAAAATATCGGAAGTGTAGATGCCAGCTGTAACAACGTTGCTCGTCCTACTTGGGGCACCTCTTTAAGCGTTTTTCGCAGAATACTTTTTCCTATATACGAAAATGGATGTAGTCAATCAGTCGGCTGGAATAAAAACATCAAATATAACGGGTATATTTTGGCGTGTGCGCGACTCGTATCGACCACAATCATTTCCACTAAAGAAATATCAGAAGAAATCGAAATCATTCGTATGGTTATGGTATCATATTCCTCGTGACAAAAATTGCTAGACTGAGCGAAAATGTCAGATTTGATTGTGTTGCTAAAGGAAATCCTGCACCTCACAGAGTATGGTACTTCAACCGGGCAAGAATGTTGCTGACTGACCGCATAGCGATGCTTCACAACGGATTAATTGTAATTGAAAAAATACAACATATGGATGCTGGAAAATATACTTGCCATGTTGAAAATCTAAACCGAAAAATTACAGCTGAAGCAGTTCTTGAAGTTACAGGTAAGAATTTTTTTTTTTTTACTTATTATAAACTAGTGCTTGACTACAATCCCACCTAGTGTTAAGCGGTGATGAATATCGAGATGGTAAATCCCAATTTCTTGCATAGCAAAAGCCCATTCACTCTTGCTTTGGAGACACCAAGATTATGATAAGATGGTAAAACAGACGCCGGCAAATTAATCCGCTCCTATCCTTTAGGTATTACAAAAGACAATGCCAACCATTTGGTTAGAATGCGTGGAAAATCGACAAAAAAGGAGTACCCCTTTGTTGTCGATATTCCAATTAAATCATGTAATTCCTGCGCACACTCCATAATGTATCCTATAGAGCACCGAGAGACTGACAAGTATTTATTCTAGAGGGTGACAAGATTTATTCTAACTAAATCTATGTCACTAAAAATTGATTTCAATACAGTAGTATTGGTGGAAGAGACTTAAAAACCAGTAAAATACAGTAATGTTACTCGTGTCTGCGCAATGGCGAGATAACATTACGTTTAAGACAAACGATATTATGCAAAACTTTGCATGTGTATAACGTTATAATTTCGTTACAATAAATTTGTCAACTAAACGTTTCTAAAATATTGTTATCACAAAATAATAATCCATCTCTTTTACTCGTATGTTCGTTCTAAGATCTATCGAACGCAGTGTTCTAAAGCTATAGGTTATTGCGTACGTTTTGTGGTCGTCAGCGCAGCAATTGAATTATCAACTGAGACAGTCAGATTTTATATAACTACATACGGATATCAAATACGGAATGTCAAAGGTAAGATATTCAAATATATTTTACATGTTACTAACGACGCAATTTACTGTTTAATAATGTTTGAAATAATCTATAAACCTTCCGCAAGACATTCTCTAAACGATAGTGAAACGTGTATCGAAATTCTTTACGTGGCTAACGGCCGGTTATAATATCCTTTCTACACTAATCACAAAAATGACGGGATATAAAAAATCTAAATTTTTGGATGATATTCAACAAGCTGTAACTCCAAGGAAAATGATATCAGGAGTATGATGAATGAAAAAGAAAAAAGAAAATTGTAGCTCGAAGTGTCTAGTTTTCAGATCTGGGCATGAATGTTTTTTATTATGCTTGGTTCTGGAGTGATTCTAAGGAAATTACTCAAAAAATATTTTTTCGTCTTAAAAAAGGTCAACGGGCTTCAAAAACCTTTTTTATTTAATTTAATGAAAAGGAGGATGTCGTCGGTATTTTTTCAATCTTAAAGTGTCCCGAAAAATTCCTGAGAAATTCAAACTTATCTTCACGCACAATCAAATAGCCAGAGAGAATAGATCGCCAAGTGTCACGATCCTTACATACCTCTTTCGCTTCTTTCAGATTCATTATCTTCTTCATACATGCACGTCTAGGTATCCGAGTACTCTTGACCCTACCCTCTTCGAGCAATTTGCTCACATGGTCTTCGAAAGTTAGTCTCGGTCTACCTCGACACCTTTTAATATTAACTTTCGCGCTATATATTTTCTTCACTATTCGGTCTTCACTCATTCGCTCAACGTGCCAAAACCACCGAAGCACGCCCTTATCAATTTTTGTGATAAGGTCATCTTTCAAACCTGCCAATATATAGATTCGCAATATATAGATATTGCGAATCTCTTCGTTTCGCTTTCGGTCGGCCATGGTAACGCCGCACATTTTACGAAGAGATCGCATCTCCACTGCATCCAACTTGCTTTTATGCTTCTTCTGGCATACCCAGGTTTCGCTGCCATATAATAAATTCAAAGCGCTGCAATTTTTTTTTCTTAGTGCCCTGAAGCTTATAATTTATCGTTTTCGCAAAAAATCACCATTATGAGCATGTGAGCATGTGAATTTACTCTAGGGTCTAAATAAATAGCACTTAAGAGCAGGGATTGAATAACCGAAAAAATATGGTTAAAACGGTTAGCGGTATGACGTCATTCCTTTCAATTTCGATTTTATTATGAAGCGTAATAGCTTTCCGTAATTCGCTACGCTTTATAATACGGTTTAAAATTCAGTGCTGTCTCAATTTTCGAAGTGACTGCACGTCCGTTCGTAGCCCGATTTGACGAGTCAAGTGGATACATCTATTGTTTGACATGGCATAAGGGTGGGTCGCGAGTGTCGGACGCGACTGCTAAAATGATTGTATTCTTCGAGCAAGACTAGAGGTAACTAGGTATATGAATTTTATGATGCAGTATTGTTTTTTGTAATTACCAGACATTAATGTGCTTAATAAAATATTAATTTATTTTGATATCCATCTCAGGTAGATAATATGGGAAAACGCAAATAAGTCAGTTGGCATATACTGGACGATACTTTTGCGATCACTGGAAGTGCGTGTAAATTTTGGGGATTTTCCTATACTAAAGTCCTACGATGAAGAGCGGGTAGCGGGTTTGAGTTTAAGGAGTGCGCGAAATGCTGCTTATTTTATATTAATTTTATTTTGTTTAATATATTATTTTAATATGGATCTATTTTAAAATTAATTTCTGTTACATATTATTTATCGAATAAATTTTCACATAAAACATGCATAGTACATTTCTCCTACAAATATGTTGCAAGTTTGAAATTAATCACGACATTTTATGCTTTAAAAAAATTTTTTTAAATGTTTTTCCCATATGTCTAATTAGTAATAACGTGTTTTATAACATAAGTATTCAATAACTATGTGTATTGGTGGTGAAAGAAAGTTCATTACTCCAAATCATCCTGTGGGTGTAGTAAAAGGCGGCAGATGGAAACCAGGAGATGGGTAATGGCATCTTCCTAACAACAGCTAGATCCAGAGTAAAAAACTGGTTGCCAACCCGCCTGGCAAAAGTGGAAACTATGAAATATTATGAGGTTATCTGAGGGAAACTAAGAATTTTTTTTCGTTAAGTGACTTCGTGAAATGATTTTTGTAAGATAATTTATAATATAAAATAAATATGGACATATTAAATATTATTAGGTATTCAAGAAGGACATGGAATTTCGCCAACTGCCAGCACATTATTAAAAATATCTTCCTTATTATTTTTTAATTTAAAGTGTCTGTGTTCGCGACGGCCTAACAACTTTAAGAAACAAAGTGATGAAAGAATATTGTTTTGTATAAAAAGTGAAATTACCAACGAAATCGAGTAAATAGTTTGTTAATATAGTTTACAGCATGTTTATAACTCTTAATATATTTGTATAGAATGTCGTTTTGGTAATAGTTAATATAAACAACTTTAATTGTATAAGAAAAAATCGACCAATCACAGCGCGCCGTATGGTAGAACTTTCTGGAAGTTTAATTAACTGCGCAATAGTTTATACTAAAAATAATGAGAATAATTTTGTGTTCTAAAAGAGTTGTAAATATGACATTTAGTTAGCATATGGTATATAGATTACGAAAGTGAAGAAATAATTTGTATAATTAAACGCATTTGAT